CTTTATAAAGTATTCCCCAGAGGAAATTTTTTAACTGTTATAGAATCTTTTTCTAATACCCTACAGTGTTAAAGCCTGTTATTAAAGGGCAAAGAGATGGTTCTCTATGCCAAACACTTGTCAACAAAAAGGATAGCCAGATGGTATGAAATAAAATGAAACTTAGGGGCTCTTCAGCTTCTTGATTTACATTAACAAAAGCCACTTTCACACGCTTCTTCCAAGAATGACTAATTTTCTGGGTTTTTTTAAACTCATTTTTTCAAGGATTAAACAATTTTATCCATTTTATAATCAGCTATGAGACAAATTAACTGATTGCACATCACTCATGCTGGGTCTTTAAAAAAAAAAAAAGTCAAGGAAGAACTATTTACCAAGTCAAGCCTATTAACATAAAGACAATCCAATTATTTTTTAGAAAAAAAGCTCTCTGCAACCTAGATGTTTTCTCGTTAGTTGCTGTTTATGAATTTTAAAATTAAGGTTGTGCAAGAGAACACTTTTTCTTTTAAATGAAATCCAGAGGAATAAAATTTATAGTAATACCCTTATAAGCCTGGTCATTATTTATTTGAATTAGGTATTCAGACCTATGTGGCCTAATTCTGCTTTTGTTTACATCCAAGCCTATTCCTGACACAGCCCCATTCCTCATCCATCTCAGTACTGGTGTAACTGAGAACAGAAACTGGCCCATGAGTTAACTGGATCTAGTGCTATATCTAGTTAATTAGCAAGCTATTATAATAATGCTACTTGCTCAATATAAACTTAGTTTGTTTCAAGCTACCCTTGAAATAAAGCACCTGTATTCTGATTCCTAACCACTAAGGTCAAATGTAAACTCTTTGAGCAAATTCAGCCCTGATTTAACTCCACAGAAGTCAATAAATTTATCTCCTCTTTCATATCTTGTAATTTATTATCATATGTAAAGCCTTTTAAGCCCAACAAAAACTGTCTTTCTAGATGGATGAAGAAACATGTTCAAAGAGAGAAAGTATATCAGTAGACTAACCTTCTGGAAGTCACACAGATCTGCAATAACATAGCTTGTTTACTGAAGCTTAGATTTAGTAATGACTTCTCTACTTACTCTCACTTCCCTCATTACTAAGATGCACATTTTATTATGCTGTGACACTTCCTCATTGTGCTGGCTTTAGAATGTAATAAAAACCTACCTGTGAAATACAATGCCCACAGAGTATCTCTTACAAAACTAGGACACAGTTGAATGCTGACTGCATTTAGCAATTCAGCTCTGATTTAAATAGAATCATTGTAGAAAGCTTAAAAAAAAACCAGTCTACAATAGATCTAATTTTCACTGTATGCCATAGAAAACTGTTCATACTAGAGCAGGTGTTGTGTTTGACTATAAATGTGAGTTAGGAGCTAGTCTGATTCATTAAAAAGTCCATAAACAAGCCAGGCTTTGTCCGATACAGATGAAAGAACGATGACTATAATGGGATGAAAGGTGTGCACAGTGATGAAGAAAGCTATTGCAGATCTATGTCCTTTTTAAACTTGTCCTGGCATGCACTGTTGACAGGGGAACAAAACAGTACAGATAAACCTCTCAAAAGTGCCTTGTTGGTAATAATTCCACCTGTCTATATAAAACCATTGACTATTGCCTACCTTCTGACTAATGACTGGCCATCCTGACAGCAATTAAATAAAACTATAATGGATCATTTTGCTTGAAGAATACTTGAATGCTTTCTAAACTAACTACAAAAGCCAAGAATTGTGATGGAGTGCATAATAATCTTAGGGTTACATTTTGTAACTTCTGTTTACATATATGCAATCACTCTGTGTTCCGTGATACTCCTATAGAACAAGAGCTATCCAAAAATTGTTCTATATTGTATAATATGTTGACTAATTTCACTATAATCACACTTTGGGCTAAAATGTTTGTGTGCAATATAATCTACTTTAGGGCCTGAACCTTAATATGTTTTATACAAAACTGCCATGGACTTCAAAGATGATCTTTCCTTACATAATGAGTATGAGACTGGGTTCCTAGAGCTGTACTTATGAAAGCTACATTGGAAATAACTTTGCTTTTTATAAAGGATATGATTATTCCCCTGGAGATAAATGTTTCTTTATCTGGAGTTGACTCATATTAATTATTTATCCCTTTCACAAAATCCTCCTTTTACAATATAAAAAGAAAAGTGTGAATTTTAGTTTCATTATTTCAGCATCTTTTGTTTTCTGTTAGAGCTTATTGAGTGTCCCGGCATTCTCAGCCTTAGACTGTACTTTATACTTAAAACTAAGGTACCAGCAAGCACAGTGTTAACGTGATCTCTTATCTTTAAACTCTAATATTTAACCACCAACTGTAATTTTGGATTTTAGAAGGTATTATTGATGATTGGTTTAAATATCTGAAAGAGATTAGACAAGCATTATAATTCTAAATGGAACCTATTATCACTTTCAGAAAAGTGTAGACCCTGGCCAAATGTAGCTCATAGAGCCCTCCTGTGAGGCTCATGGTATTTAATATGGATGTGTGACTCATGGAAACTGGAAGTCTAGCATAGAATACTCCATCTTCAGGTATCACCAAGATTGCAATGGAATGGTAACTGTATATAATCATAACTATTCAACTGTGTGGCATAGAGCTTATACTGCTACTAGTGAATCTCCTTTAGGTTAAGTGCCAGAAGAAGGATTATGGTTCAGTTTCTGTTGCCACCAGGAAGTTCTAGGTGGCGATGGTGTGAACCATAGTGCCAACCCTTAAGTCCTAGACAATGATGGATTTTTTTTACAGTATTAAAGATAAGGGTGCTTGCAATCTGTACCAGTTTATTATTTTTATGCATCAGGTGTATCCCTCTTGCATCTCATTAAGGCAACGTTTGAGTTGATCCTGTTTTGAAACTACGGTTCAGATTTGGTCTTGAAATTGTAGGCACCCAATCTGTACATTTGGTGGTTTCAGAGCCACACGTAATGAGTGCTAAAACTGGATACAGCAAACTCCGACCTATAATTATATATTTAAAATAGAATGCTGGCCATGACAGCCTTTTACTCAAATCCTGACCAGTTAGTCCAAAAGGCCCTACACTCTACAGCAGACAAAGAGAACTCAGCTTGGACCATGGCATCCAATTAGGGGCCTAGCGAGCTGCATTCAAAGGTGACAACTTTCACGTCATTTGCATAAACCCATCCACAGACATGTGCTTGTGAAAGAAGGCAAATTAGCTGCCTAGAACTGCGGTCAATAGAAGGAGCCGCAGGAGTAAAGAAGGATTTACCACGGAATCCCTCTCAGCCAATGGAGAAAACAGACTCTCAGCAGCTTGGCCCTTTCTGTTTAGTTAATGCTGTCTTCCCTGCTCCACTGGACTCCATCCATTTACAGCCGCTCGAGTGCCATTGTGATCGTTTACATGACTCTAAACCCAGGGCTTTGAACTACGCGGCAGCTCGTGGTCTTGTGCTGGTTTCCCATCTTCCTTGGAGGTTCAATATGCAGGCCAGAGCCGCTCGTGATTCTTGTAAAGACCCGCACCGGAGAACCCCACCTCTGGGACAGGCAAAATAACCAGTGGCAGGGGGAGGAGGAAGAATTCGGCACGGGGGGGGAGAGCTGAATCAACACAATCCATAAGCTTTTTAAGATCCCA